CCAGTCCTGAAAACACCTGCAGTTTCAGCTGAAGAAAAGACGCACACCTACCTGAAGAAGAGAACCAGAACCAGGACCAGGACTGTTCAGGTCTGACCTTCCTGCAATCTGTTCAGTCTAACAGAACACACCTGCTGCCCTGACGGGAGGGGGAGGGGCCTAATCCAATTAGCCTCCAAGCAACTGGCCGAGCCAGACGCCACCTCCTGAGCGCTAACAGACGGCGCTAACACACGTTTGTTTAATTATAAACATAATTTATCACTTTTTCAAGATTTCAAACCCTGATTTCCAAATAAAACTAATCAGAGTGGAACTTTTAAACGCTCTAACCCTGAGCAAAGAGTTCCAACATGAAGCTGCAGGTAGAAGAAGTGATGGGCGGAGCCACCGCCCCGCCAGGTAAACAGGACTGGACCTGCTCTGAACCAAAACAGACGGAGTGTAAAGACTGGCGACGAAGAGGAGTAGGCGTTTCTTACCTTCACTCATTGGGTCGTGAGAGGCGGAGCTTCCAGATCCTTCAGGCATCACCTGTCTCCCATAAAGACCCGGACAGGATGTACGAGGACCTGGAAGAGAGGACGACGAAGACCTCAGTAAACACAAACAGCAGCGTCTGCGGGAACCTACGGGTGAAGCAGGTGAGCTGGGGGGTCACGTGATCAGCTTCGTCTGCACTTTAATGATGGAGGCACAACAGGACGCCAGGGAGCGAGACCAGGACAAAGAACCGGACGGACCACCTCGGAAACGCTTCTTTTATTCTGACAGATTCCCTGACGTTTACCTTGTGGAAACTTTTTTTTAGGTTTAACCAAATCTTCCTCGTCATCTCCATATTTGGTCCATTCTGCTGAGGTCGCTGTGGTTCAGGCTGGAGAGGTGCCTCAGTGAAAAACCTGTTCCAGGTGTGGTTTCCATGGTAACGTCTATTAGACTCCTGACTTGAAGCAGCAGGATGAATCAATCAGATAAGATTATTAATAAATCTGAGCAACATTTCCACGAGATTCTATTTATGTAGTTTTTTTTTTTGCAAGTCAATTTGATTTTTTTGTCTGAGTAAAAACATCTGGTTCCACTTCACCAGACTTCGATTTAAAACTCCGTCTTTTAGGATATTTCGGCCTCTCCGCAGCGACACCTATGCTTCACGCTTCTTCTTGTGAGCTGACTGAACCAACTTTACATTAGTTTGTTTTCGGCTCGGTACATGTTAACAAACAGCAGCCCGATTTTCTAAAAACAGCTGTTTAAAGAGCTGTTCTGCTGTTTCATATTCGCCTAGTCTGGAAGGGGCGAGTAGCGGCAACAGAGAAGTAAAAACGTAAAATTTGCATCAATTTAAAGTTCGGTTCTGTTTAAACTTAGGCCGAACTCAAGGCGAACTACTTTAAAACACAATGACTCAAAAAAAATTTTTATATAAGCATTAGATTATAAGATATCACACGCAAACCCTAAATGACGCAAGTCCCAATGGAAGTTTGCACTGCAGCATCCACCCGCGCTCGGATCCGCTCCGGCACGAGCTCCAACTTTCCCAGATTCCGTTACACTTTGAAGTTTGGTGAGATGGAACCGAACAGAACCACCTGGTTCTGACTTTGATTCTAATTCGTAATAAGAGCTCGGAGTAAAAGTTAAGCTGGTCAGATACTTCCGTGTGTCCGAGCAGATGGGGAGAGGAGAGGGGTAGGGAGGGGGGGGACACGGATCCATCCGTGACATCCATTCGAGAGGGAAAGACGCACCCGCCCCCCCAGGGAAGCACGGACGGACCGGCACCAAGACTCGGGTCGTGAAGGAGAACGTGTGGACTCACCTGAGTGTCAGTTCCTGTCCGTCTGAGATAAAAACCCTCGTCACGCCGCTGCGGGTTAAAAACTCAAACCAAACTCTGTTTCCTCAAACTCGGGACTGCGCCGTTCGCTCCACTGCGCATGCGCACGGTTTAAAAAATCTGGCACGTTTTGCTGCTGTTGAAAAAGACAATTTTAGTTACATTTACAACTTTAAATTCGGAGTTTATTCAAAGACGAGCACCAGAAAAGTTTATTTAGAAACATAAATATATTTAATGTAATATTCAGGCTTTCATTTTTAAATCAAAGTTTAAACATTGTAGTATCAAATGTGGCCACTGGAGGGCGGCAGAGCTGCAGATCACTGAAATTTAGTTCCTGGAGGAAATTTAATGATTTTATTAGCCTTCATTTAATTTTAGTTACTTGTAAAAGTTTTTCTATTCCAAATTTTTAGAATCAGAAATATCTTCACATTGATAGTCATTTTAGCTGTTCCCATAAAACCCATGTCATTGAATACAGGTTTAAATTCATTTTGAGATCAGTTTGTTTACATGTTTTAATGTTTCACCTAAACCTTAACATATTGGACGTGTTTCTCAGTCTGTGATGTCAAAACATAACATCTGTTAATGACTCATATATGGAGAGGCCGTAAACTTACTGTATTCTGCTGCAGGTTTTATTGGGAAAAATAATAATTATAATAATACTTTTCTGAATTTACACGTTGGCTGTAATCACACATCACCTGCTAGAAACAACAAAAAAAGGCTTGTTTAAAAAAAACAGCATTTTGTTCTTCCGGTTCTGCAGAAGTCACAGGGTTTTACTAAAGCAGTCGGTAAACAGAAAGTTGCACAAGATATTTTCATCAGATGAGGGACAAGTTTCAGCCTGTCAGAGGACAAACACGTACCAAAACTGTTTCACTCAGTGGAGCCCTTTCAAAATAAAATACTACACCTGAAACTATCCCCCATGAAGAAACGGCAAAAATGTTGAAAGACTGAAGTCTGAGCAACATAATAAAAGGTTTGAACTTTGTACAATAAACTGATCCAGTTACAGTGAGTGTTACAAACTGACATTAAGAAGTGAAGGTCTGATCATACATAATATTATAT